AAACTCCGAGATGACAACAGATTATTCACCTAATCTGTGTTTGTGGAAGCCAGAAAGTTCAGTGGAAAAAGTCAGGATCAGCTACTTAAAAGTAGCATGGACAGGCAGATTGCTCATGTGCACCTTTAAATTGTGTGAATAAGGAAATAAACTGAAGATTGTTCTGGGGGAAGGAGCTGAACCATGTAGGTAGTGTTCACTTATCCTTATTTTGGAGTCAGTCATTGTGTTGGTTGGAATTTGAACTGGCAGTTCCAGGGCTGCTGGCTGTGTCATTGTGGTTCCTGTCCCTTGGACAGGCAGATGTCCTTGTTATTTTGAGAAGGATCAAACTGGACACACCAATGTTTTAGGCAGTTGTGGAATCACTCAGAGCACAGGCAGTGGCTGCTCTTCAGACTTGCGTCATTGAGAAGATCTTCTCAATAGCCTGGTTTTATGTGCTGCTGAATGTTCTGTGTTGGGAATTAAATCGTGGCTTTGTCACACGGATCCCGAGGAAGAGGCAGCCTTCAGCCACGTGGCTCCAGGAGCAGAGAGGCATCATGTCATTCCCCAGTCACAGTGTCATCTTTGTGTTCCCCTCATCCTTCGGGAGAGAGAAGTCAGCTCTGGCCTTTAACCTGTTTCCTGGGTGGGGAGATACAGCACATGGAGGGCAGAGCAGAAATCCCACCGCGTGTGGAAGCTTTGCACCCACAGAGCTGCTGCCGCACAGGCTGCGGTAGCGTGTTCAGAGGAGCAGGAGCTTGTGTGCCTTGAACCAGAAAAGAATAAGCCTCAAGAACAGAAACAAGACAGAGCCTGTGCTGTGGTATATCTGAAGAGGTGTGAAAGCTGAGTGCAGAAAAACCTTGCTTGAAAAAATGCCAGTGAGTGCTGTTCAAACAGCTGCATCAAACACATCTGCGAGAGGCTGACGAGCAGCAAGCTGCAGTGCCAGTTTTCTGCCACTGCTTTTTGGTGTCATCTACCCTTTGTTTATCTCTTTATCAATTGAAACGTGGTTTAGTATTTATGTATTTTTGCATTGTAGTAATCCAGAGCAGACTGTAGAAAGCTTCCTATCACAAAATTGCTCTGAATCCATGCCGTGATTCCGTGCATGTGTGTTTTGTTCACAAGGCATTTAAAATCACCAAACTGTAGTCATTAACAGTGTTAGCCAGTTTTGTGTAACACCACATATATAAATATTGCTCAGCTTAGAATTGTCTTTTGTTACACATCCAGCATTCATAACTTAGCTTTTCATAAAACAGCTTTGAAAATTGGGCTTGGCTTTCTAAGAAACGCAAACTTGGGCAGAGCCTGCTTTGAATTAGACAGGCTTATGTCAGCGTGGTATGTTTTTGGCAAAGAGATCTATTAAGAGTTTTATTTAAATGCAAACCTTTTCAAATCTTGCCAGTTAAGAACACTGTGTGCCTTTGCTTCTTTTGCAGCCTAAACTTACAATGGCAAAATGCAGACGAAACGTGGAGAATTTCTTGGAAGCTTGCAGGAGGATTGGAGTGCCTCAGGTATGTATTCCTGCTCTCCTGATAGAATGTTGCACGTGCAGTTTCGTGTGGTGCTTCAGAAAATAAAATCTTCTTTGAAAGATTACATTAAAACAAAATGATTATAAGGTGAGAAGGTTCGGGTGTACACTGTCCTGCAGGATAGATCAGACTTGTATTGCATAACCTTCCAGAGCAAAGTGAAGTCAGGTAGTTTGTCAGAGGTTTGAGTCACTGCTGTACCTCAGATCCATAGCAGCTGATGCAGGTCAGGTCTGCCTTTAGGACCTGGAAGGTATTTCTATAAAGACAGTTACATTTTCCCAAGATCAGATATGTGAGAGCTTAAAAGTGGCATTAAATTTGGATGATGTTTTGCATGTGTTATTTTTATCCCAAATCTTTTCGTGTTCCTTCACAATAATTCTCTTTTGTGAATGTCTTCACTGTCTTACCAATAAGTCACAGTGTTAGGGACCTTTCCCTGCTGGCAGCTGTCTGCATAGATCCAGATTCTTTCATTACATACCAGTGGTAGAAGTCTGTCTTCTGGTATTCCTTGTCCTGCAAGATGTAGGAGGTGGGAACATACAAAATAGTCCATCTCAGCCTGTTAGTCCAGTTACCCTGGTTTGTGCTCTCCTGTCCTTTGCACTTTGTCTCATTCAGCAGCTGTCTCAGTGCAAATACTTTTAATACATCATGTTTTCCTTAGTTTTCCTTCCAAAGTGCTAATTGATTTTGTTGTACTGCTGAGCATTAGTGTCTCTGCTGTAGGTGCTGCTTTCTTTCTTTTGTATTCTGAAAGGGAACAGTAGACCCAGTGGCTTCTTTCCCAGCTGTGTTAAGAGGCAGTGCAGTGTTCTGGAGTCAGCCATGCAGGATTTTCTGGTGTTTTCAGATGGTTTCACTGACAGGCATTTGAGCTGCTGGGATTTTAGGGTAGCATATTTATTGAACTGCCTGGCAATTTCACATGGCTCAGTGGTGAATTGTGTTGGATCATGTTAGGGAGCTGTAAGTGATATTAGTGCTGTGAGATCCTGCACTGTTTTGATCCCCTAGGAAACTTCAGACTTTTACTCCCAGCAGAACTGCATAATATAAATTCATCTGGGGCAGAATTGTGTAATTCTATCCCAGCTTCTCTATTTATAGCTCCCTCAAATATGAAGATGTAATTTTTATGGGATTGTAGTACAGAGCAGATCTCTGGAATTACTCACAATTAAAACAAACAAACAAAAAGCCACTCAAGAACAAGTGCCCTGTAAACCCAGTGTGCTCCAGCTGCTGCACCTCCTGTCTGGGACCTTCCTGTCTTTCCTGTGGAACTTTAATGTGAAAGAGTGAAGGAGAGTGGCTGGGAAAACTTACTGAAGTACTCCCACCTGAACTCTTAAGGTTGCTCTCACATGTCTGTGTCACATACCTACTGAGATGTGAACATAAGATTCCTGCAAGAGCAGCGTGGCAGCCTGGTGTGCTTTTCTTGAAGAGGTGCCTGCAGGTATCTCACTTAAATTCTAACTACAGATACAAAAGGCTTTCTGAAAGCATGGATCTGTGCAGGAACACTTTACCTTCTAAGGAATAGGCTACTTTTAGAAGAGGGTAATTACAGGCACCGTAGCAGAGCAGTGATTTCTGTAGGACTTCAGTGATTAAAGCCTTTGCATCCAAGGAAACTGCAGCCAAACAGATTGATACATGCATCTGGATTTCACTGATTATAGCAGTTACCTGTGGGAAAGGGAATGCAAAGACAAACAGTGGGAACAGTTACAGAACCCTTGGACTCTGATTATTAACAGCTGTTTCTGCAGGTTGCTGCACTCAGGCATCAGTTATGCAGAAACAAACCCTTGTCCTGCTGTTTTCGTTAACTAAGTTACAAGTGAGGGCTTAACTTTGAGTGCTCAGAGCCAGCAGCACCTCAGAAACCTGTAGCCTCTTCACTTGCCCTGGAGAAAAAAGGTTTTCACTGAGGCATGTGTGAACTGCTTTTAACCAGGGGCAGTTTCATGCTTCAGCTGTGCAGATGACAGCACCTCACAGACCACTAAACCTTGACACCGAGTTCTTTGCCCTGAGAGTCCTGCAGGCTCCTGGGGGAGATCACCCAGCTGTGATGTGCTGCAGTGTGTCGGTTGTATCTGAGATGTCTGATAACTGCTTCGTGGATGTTGCTATGGCTAACTGACTGACCTTTTTTTTCTGTCTGTTTTCCCTTCCTGCTCACACACTCTGGACAGGACAATCTTTGTTCCCCTTCTGACATTCTCCAGCTAAACCTCAGCGTTAAAAGAACAGTTGAGACTCTTCTTTCCCTGGGGACAGATTCAGAAGAATCCAGTCTTGTCTCCCTTTCCGTTCAGCTCTGGGGCTTTGTGGTGTTTTACTGTACTCTAATGCTAACGCTCTGTATGTTCTATCGCTGGGTCTTTTTTCTCTAGCTGAAGGATAGTGTTGCTGCTTCCTCCCTCCATCACTCCAGTGCTTGGGAACAGATTTGGGGATTTGTCAAGACTGTGTGTATGAAGTGCTTTGCTTCCCACGGATGGGACAGAGGTGACAAGTGTGATGTGTAAACACACTGGGGCACCCACACGACCATCTGTGACCTCATTCACATTTGTATTTGCTGTGTCACATTGAGCAGATAAAATGCTTTCCAAGGGAGGAGGAGCTGTCCCTGGCTGGAGTTGAGGGGCTGAGGTTAGCACACGTGGGTGCATGCTGTAGTCTGCTGACCAGTGGTGTAGTACTGGGAAAGCTGCCTTGTCAGTCTGTGCCTCTGTTTCCCCATCTGTGCAGTGGCAATTGCACCCACTTGGGTAAATTGCTTGAGGATTCTCTGATGCAAAATGTTACACAATGTGAAGTATTCTTTTCCATGTCAGTGTTCCTGATGAGATCTCAGTCTTAGGAGACATGGTCTGGTAAGTTTTGTCCACAGGACTTTGTGTTTTGTCCTACCCCAAGTCCAACCTTATCCTGCTTCTGAGAGCATTTGATTTCTCAAATGTATAGACTCTGCTGTGTTACTTTGAGTCAGGATTTTTAAAATAACTGAGCTACTTCACAACAGTTCAAGCAGGAAATTTTCAGAGAAATGAAGCTCTTTAGCAGCTTTAAGTTTTCTAGCACAGAAAGAAAAATTTTGACATTGCTTAGGATCTTTAAGATTGCTTAAAATCTTTCAGATCAGGTGCTACAGAGTGTCACAGCATTTTCCTGTGCTCTGGATAAAATTTACCAAAAACTTGTTGAGTTGCCACTTGATTGTGGGTGCCCCAATCCAAGTTGGTTCCATATCTATTCCCTTCCTCCTCTGACCTGTCATTTTCAGAGCCTCTTGTATCATGCAGTTGCAGAAATACAAGTCCCAGCCGCACAAGCACTCCTCACTGTTTTACAAAACTCAGGTAGTCTTCCATAAAGCTTCACAGCTTTCTCTCCCCAGGGAAAGCATCCTGGTGCTTTAGTGTTTTAATGTCTCAGGGACACCTCAGAACTTCAGGGCACTCCCCGTGTGTGTGTGTAAAAGACCATGTCTCCTCAGAGTGCAGATTGATTCAGGGAGCTCAGGCCAGTGCCAGGTAAGTGTTCAGTAAATGGCTGTTCCACATGTGTCTCCAGTGAATTTCTGTGACACCTGCAAGGTGCAGTAAATGGCTCGTGAGCCCAGTGTATGTGGTGTTGGCATTCCAGTGTTAACCTGGAACAACTCTGAAGCACAGCTTAAGATACACAGGAGTTCAATTGCAAATGGTCACTGCCAGTAAAAATGTGTTATATGTGTGTGGATCTCACAAGCTCCTGGGCCACAGAGTGAGGAGTATTTAACAAAGGAGCAAGTAGGAAAGAGCTGCTGCTCTGTCCAAGTCACGCACAGTGTTCTGTCCAAGCCAAACACCACCGAGGACAGAGAGGACCTTTGACAGGGAGAGATTGTTTTATTTTTAAATAAGCTATTTTTGCACTGCTTACTGGTATGAACTAGAACGAACTTGGTTCCTATGTTTCTTAACTTCTGATGAACACTGTGATGAAAGCTGCAAGGGGTTTACACTAACAGTGCCTTCCAGTTTTGAAATTGTTTGTCATGGCTGTCTGTGGTATGGAGTCATTCCAAAGCTTTTCCCCTATCTGTTTGCGTACATAAGAAAAAAACTAAGGCATATTTGCTCAAGTTTACAAGTATTTTCTCAAAAAAGCACACTATTTTCAAAGCAACATACATTTGCTGGAAGAACAATGTTTCAGCCTGATGCTAAGGCTTTCGGTGAGGATTTCAGTCTGGGCTCACTTGCTTTCCCTCCACTCGGAGCTTGGTGGGAGGAGTGTTGGCTAACACTGTTTGTGCTGAAGCATTTCTTTAACATCAAAAATCAGGAAAGACTCAAAGGGTGGAGAAATGCCAGTTGGTGTGAAAATAACACATGAAAAATAGTCTCTGTAGCTCTATAGGAAGGAAACACTTGGGTTATTTTCTACAGATACAGAGAACTGTTGGACATGTATCCTGACTGTTGTGGAGTGAGGATGGCCAGGAGGGGCCAAAGACTTCTGTAGGATGAGGCTTTAAATATATCTTAGACTGAGAATAGCACAAACTATTAATAAACACTTTGAAACCTCTTTCTGCATGTTGCGTATTACTGTCATTCCTCAGAGTGGTTCTGGGGGTCACTGCTGGGGAAGAGTGAGCAGCAGTGGCTCATTCCCTGCTCCACAGAGAGCTTCCCTCCCTCCTGTAGCCTTGACCCAGCAGGACTCCCCACAGAGGCATTGTGATTGGAAGGGAAGCTGGGGCTCCTCTGCTGCTCTGTGCTGTAGCAGGTTCAGCTTGTTGAAGCAAAGCTTCCCCCTCCTCCAGTTCATCTTCCACCTGCTGCTGCCATGGCAGTGTGGGCAGAGACAGAGGACAATTGGCTGTTCCTGCTTCTCCCACAATCCTTTTTCAGATTCTTATTTGTACAGTTTTCTAATAACACAGGGATTAGCCAGGGCCACCTCTGAGCAGTCCAGGTCATGGTTCCTTCATCACAAGCTGAAGTTTCATGTCCTACCCCGTGTGTGTGTGTTGCCTGTCCATAACATTTCATATTTCAGTCACTTTTTGCTTAATTTTTTTTTTCTTTTCAGTTGAGTGGTTTTCATCCGTTTTGTTTTTGTCTTTGTTTTGTTCCCCATTCAGGAGCAATTATGTTTGCCTCTGCATATTTTAGAAGAGAAGGGTTTGACACAGGTAGCTGTGACTGTGCAGACGCTCCTGGAGTTGGCACCCCCAAAGCAGCAGCCACTTCACCACTTGTCTGCTGTGTAAAGACCTCCGGGACCTTTTGGGTTACCTTGGCTAAGCAGAAGGACCTGAAGACTTTACTGCCCATGCAGTGCATCCAAACACACAGAGCTCTGTTCTAAGGAAATGAGTTTCCGTGATTCCTGACAGGAATGTTTTTACTTTGTTTCTCCATTTTTTTGGAGATCACAACAGTTTCCAATGACATTTTTTATTAGCAATATTTTTGCCCCTTATTTAAAAAACTGAGAGCTCACTGGGAGGAGGGCAGGGAGTTCCCATGGTTGGCTGTTGCAGCCAGCTGGAGAAACCAACCTTGCAGGCTGAAGATATGGGCGTAGAGTCTGGAAAGTAATTCCTAAGGGAATTTGTAAAAAAGGATGTTGCTGCAGTGGGCACAAGGGGAATTAAATTCCTTTCCTTCCCCATGGGGTTCAAAGAAAGGGAATTTCTTTGCCTCCACAGAACAACAGCTATTTCTACTTTAAAATTGCATCACACAATCTTGCCCTGCTGTGTTTGCTAACAGGGCTGAACCTCACACAGCTGTAACTTGTCTTGGCGTATCCTCACTACTAAAAGCTGAAAAACAAAAACCCCAAAACATTATTTTTTTTCCCAAGGGAAAAATTTCTGCATGTTTTTACCCCAGAAACACCTTAGTGGAAGATACTAATTCAGAGCTGTTCAAATTGTATTGGTCCCATCAGATTCTTGCTGGGTTCACTTTCTGTTTGGGTTCTAACACATCTTTATCTGAACACTTTTCCACCATCTGTGGAGGGAGATCTCCTGTGGCCTCTCACCTTCCCTTCTGGCCACATAGGGATGGGTTTGGTTACTCAGTGGTTTTGTTAGATGCTGAGGAGATCCCCAGAGTCACATGGGTGATTTTGTGCAGTGTGAAGGGTTCCAGCCTGCCTTGCTCATCAGTACAGCTATTACCAACCAATGTTTATGAGGGGCTGGAGCTTCCCCTGCAGGCACAGAATGAGTTGTGAGGAACCCAAGTACCAAGTTCCCCATGTGGGTGTTGTCAGAGCAGGGATCTGTGCAAACTCAGCTTCTCGGAACTGCCATTACTTCCTTCTTCTTTCCTTAGCATAAAAATGGAAATTCAGTGTGCAGGAATGGGAGAGGCAGATGACAAGTTTTGCATTTTCCTGGAGAGTTGATGTGCAGAAAAAGGACAGCTCCGTGTGCTCTCGTCCTCGTGACAAGGCCAAGCTCACTACCAGATCAATTACAGTAACTTACTTTTTCCAAAACAATCTCACAAAATCCACCCACGCTGTTCCTTTGTCAGGTTTTGCCCTATTTAAAGCATCCCAGAATGTTATGCTGCTAATACATGGTGCATGGGGTCTGGAAGCAACCCCAGGCATCAGCAGCATTCCATCTGGGGATATGTTTGAAGTAGAATAGATCAAGAGATTTTATGCAGGTAAAGGAAGAAGAAATAGGAGCAGTTTAACTAAAAGTCATTTTTGCAGAAGTTAAGCTGTGCCATGGGAGCTGCCAAGGACTGGGCTTAGCTGCATTTTTCCCTTTTTGATTTGCAGTTTTGTTTCCACTTTGTTTTGCTTCATGTATTTCTTTCAAGGGCCATTGTGGTGACTGTTGAATCCCTTATTTCACATAATTATTCCCAGTTGCTTCTTACTGGCATTGGTTGACCACGTTGGAAGTGGAGAACACCTGAAGGGTGTTTAAAACTGCCCAGCTGCAAGGAGAAACTTCCTCAGGCTGGCTAAGTGCAGCACCTTGAGTCCTGCAAGGTGCCAGTGACTCTCAGTCTCCAGAGGAACAGCTCCATACAGGAATTCTTTGCCCCTCAGATAGCTCTTGTGTTTCACCAGATTTCGTTTGTGAGGAGTGTTGGTCGTTCTCGTAGGCTTACAGAGAGGTGTCTGAGGCCTCTGCTGCAGTTTGCTGAGAGGAAGATTCTGCCACTCACAGGCAACAACACAGACACAGAAGTGCCTTGTGTGTTTGTCTCTGCACATAATTTGAGAGAGAGGAAGGCACTGACTTCATCTTGGTTTCCAGCGTTAGGTCACCTGTATTGTTGCAGGAAGGTGTTGTGTTTAGCAGCACACCCCTCACATCCCTCACGGCCATCGAAATACCAGAAAACCCTTCCCTTCATGGAATTGTGAGGGTGTGGTGATTGCTCCAGTCCAGCTTCCAGCACTTAGGGAAAATGGAGCTTAACAGTATTCAGGATGGTGGAAGTTTGACATTTCACTAATAGTTTTTAGGAATGCTGGGGAGGGAGGGATGGGCTGGAGTTCAGCTGCAGGAAAAGGCCATTTCCTCTTGTGTGTGGCTGTGGCTGGAGGCAGCAGGGGCTCCCCAGCACTGGGTGCTTTGTTCTGAGCAGTGCTCACTCTGGCAGTTTTGGTGTAGGGGATTGTGTTAGTCTGACATTTATAATCCTGTGTTTCCATGCTGGCAGGCACTAAATCTTGTCCAGATGTTTAGGACAAAAATCCAAACCTGGAGTTTGATCACACAGTTTATTTAATGTGTTACACCAAACCCACTCTGGTTCTCTCTTGAAAATGGGTTGGGATTTTTCATTGTATTTATGTGCAATTTCTGTTGTATCCCATGAAAAGAATATTTGAAAGAAAACATGTATAAAGTTCTATTTTGTGTGTTAGAGCAAAGAGGCAGTGGTCTTTCCTCGCTGAGGATGTGGGCAGGATCCCCCACGTGTTCCCTGCTCCTAGGGTTCCTGCACTCACTCTGTGGTGCCACCAACCTTCCTCAAGCCTGGGGAGCCCTGAGCAGTGGCTGAGGCTCGGTGAGGTTACACACTCCAGATGGAGCAGCCCAGGCACTTGGGGGCTCCTGATGGCACTGGGGGTCAGGGCAGAGCAGATGGCGTTTGGGTCTTCCCCCTTGTGCAGGGGGAGGTGTTTGTAAAGGCTCCAACCCCTGTGTCCTGCTTAAAATCCATAAGGGACATCTTCACAGTGCCAGAGCACCTCTGTGGGTCTTGGTGGCGACAGGATGGCAATGATAATTTAACCCTTATATGGCTATAAATGGTTCTTTGAAAAACTGTTTTAGAAACAGAGGACTTGTAAGGTGAGTTTGGGCATCTAAAAAACCCTTTTGTATAGATATTGTGACGTTTTACAAAGTGATCTAATTTTGTTATTTCTGAAAACAGTGTAAACGTGTAAGTAATAGAGTAAAGGATTTTAAAGCTTCATCCTGTGCTGTATGTCTGTAAATACATTCCATAATTTCTGTTACATACGAATGTGTCTGAATATTGTATATTTTCAGTTGCCTGTACTCTGCCAGTAGTGTGAACTTCTAGCACATTGATAATATAAAAGGAAACCATTGGTATTTGAAATAAAGTTTTAAAACTTACCTGAATTATAATATTTCTTCCTGCTGTTTTGCTGTTGAATCAATGAATGTCACATCCTCTGTGCTGGGTGCTTATTCCCCTTCCACATTGTCACATTTGGCATTTGATGGACCTGCTCTGGTTCTCTAACTTTCATAGTTAACCAGGATGAAAAATATCCAGCATTTTTACACATTCTATAGCCACATGCCAAGCTTTCTCTTGGGGACATTTTTAACCCTCCTCAGATACTGCAGTTTTGTACAGAATCCTTTGCTCCTCTCTCCCCAGCCCCTTGTTTTGTTCCTCTCGCTGCAAAATGTGCTTTCTAGGTTTGGGCTTTCCTGCTGCCAGTCACAGTGCTCATTGCTCTTCTTATCCTTGGCTCACCTTTAGCCTGTCTTGGGTTTGAAGTGTAAAACCTGCCCCCTGCTTCCTGCCCCCCCAGTGTTTGAAAGGTTTGTTCTAATTAGCCAAAAAATAGTTCCTCTATTTGTCCCTCCTCATCACTAGTTTTTAATCATTAAAAAAAAATTTCAAATGCAAGGCTTAGAAGTTGCCAGAGACAGACTGCATGCAGGCTGTGCTACCCCTCTGGTGCTCTTCCCTGCTCACCAAGCTGCTTCGGCATCCCTGTCTGACCTGATGACGCCATCCGTCACAGGACAGCTCCATTCCTGCCTGTCAGGGCTGCCCAGCTCTCTCCAGATGTTCATTTCTCCCTCTCTGTCTAAAGCTTCCTCCTAACCAGCATCCCACTCTCCAGCCTTTCTTCTCTATTTACTTCCCAGTTTCTCCAAAGGGCTTGTGATTTCCCTGCAGAAAATACTGTGGGTGTGTACTTTGATCCCATCACTCCACAGCAGGAAAAAACAAGCAGTACCAACACTGGCAAAGTTCCTCAGAACTGCTGGGTTTGCAGCATTGCTCCTTGCCCCATCCCTGGATGTGCCTGTTTGGCAGCTGTACAGCCAAGAAACACAAGTCTGCTGTCGTTTCTGCAGAGCAAGGAGGGACTCCTACGGAGAGCGGCACCCCTGGGATGGGCTGGTGCAGCACAGAGGGCTGAGGAGCTGGATGGGTGGCAGCATAGCCACAGTCCCTGGGCAAGAGTGTGTGGCAGTTCCTTGGGAGGTGTGAGCTCACAGGATGCATCAGGTCACAGACCTGTGCCCCCATCACGGTACCCTGCAGTGGCCAGGACACAGGACACTCATGTTGGGGCCTGAGGTTCAGCACCTTCCACCTTAGAGGATAGCAAACCCTGTTCCACTGTTGCCTTTTCCCATTGTTTACAGAGTTGTGTTTTGTTCCCTGCTGAGAAGTGAGCACAGCCCAGCTGAGGTCGTGTCACATTTCAGTCTCGTTGCACTACTAACGTGGAGTTTAATGTAAACAGTGGAGATCTGCTGCCTCTCCATCCCATCCTTTTTCCTTAGCTCAACCCCTCTGGAGAGTTTATAATCAGCTTCATTCTTTCCACCCAAGCAGGTCACCTGTTAACACCCACCACATATGGAAAATACTAGTCCATGATGAAATGCACGGAGTCAGCAGCACATGGAAAGGAAGAGTTAAAATTAGGAACATAACTCCCGGGGCTGCACTGAGGCACTTCCTGCAGTGAGTGGAAGCACAGTCCTCCCTCTAGACTGGAGTGATCCCACCACACCACCTGGGGACCATGGAAAGCAAGTGGATTTAACAGTTTTAGTACCAGTGCTGGAATGGGAACACATCCTGGTTGCAAGCAAGCAGCCATGCTCCAGCAGGAGCACATGTACATATTGCACAAGTTTGTCTGGAGTGTCTGAAACTGAAACTCCCTGGACAATCAGCTCTGTCTGATAGTCAGGCACCAGTCAGGCACCAGCCCCTTCTCTTGTTCAGTTCTGAGCCAAAGGCTCTCTGCTTGAGGTGTCAGTCATCTCACTAGAACTGTAGAGCTTTTGGCCCCATTCAGCTCGGATATGAGGACGTTTGGATGGAGCCAGCATGGGCTGGTCACAAAGAGCAGAGCAGACTCTATGGTTGGAGCTCACTCTCCCGCATGTCAGAGTCAGACACAGCCAGCTCTGCCACGAGGCTTTGTGCACAGACCTGCAGTGATTCACTGGCAGCAGTGTCAGGAGAAGGGTTCCCCTCTGAGTTAAAGAGCAGCTCTCTGCCCCCAGCAGCTCTGCTCTGCCCATGGCCCATCCCTCTGCAGTCGGTAGTCAGGGCGGTGGCTGTGACTGTGACGTGAGCTCCCGCGGGCTGAGGAGCCGCTCGCTTTTCCTGCTGTGCCTCCCCTCGCTTGGAAGGTCTTTGGAGCTGTTCTGTCTGTGCTGACATTGTGCAGGACTGTGGGAATGGCAACCTGCATGCTCTGGCTGCATTTGTGTTTACACTGCAAACTGCCTGCAGCTCTCCCCTGCTGACCCGACACCGGCGCCAGTGGCAGCTCTGGGTGCCTTGGCCTCCCTGCCTGACCCGGAGCCACAGCAAACACCAGTGCTCCAGCACAGCTGGTGCTTTGGGGGCTGCAGAGGGGCCCACGGGGGTGAGTTACTGGGCTGTTAACAGGATTACCTCCCACTGGCTGTCTTGTTTCCATAAAGCACCTTGGGGGATATAGGGTTTCTCACTGCTTTGATGCAAATCCCCTTTCTGCTGAAGACACTGTCTCTCTGCTGTACAAGGGCAGCTTCAAGATCTTTACTGCAGCTTCACCTTAACTGCATCTGTCATGAACTATGTTCTCCAGGATTGCCCAAGCTCTGTTACATGGTTTATTTTGTCCTGTCAGGCAGACAGACCACAGAGCCCTGTGCAGCAACAGCCCTGGAGCACATCTGTGGCAACTTTCTTTACTTATCATGTCTTGGCTCCTTATTTTTTCTTCCTCCCGTTTTCATTCTGCATTGATAGCTGTTTATTCCAAATCTTCTTGAGGGCCTGGTAGGGGCCAAGGGCTCTGCGGACCATTGTACCCCTCCACCAGGCCTGCAGCTGGAAGTGAGAGAGAGGTCTGAGGTGCAGTCACTTGCTGGGGTACCTGGTACAGCTCAATAGCCAGAGAGTCTTTCCTGCACTCCCCATCTGCAGGGGGGAACCCCTGGCCAATACAGCAGCTGTGCTAGTTGTGCTGAAGGTACCCACAGGTGGGCCAAGCGCATCTGTTGCTGGTGGCAAGGGCTGAGCAGGGGCAGTGCCCCATGACCCTCCCTGTACCACCCATGCAGTGGGGCTGATGTAATGGGCACAGGCCCAAGTCATTCCAGGAGACTGACCTCTCCCGCCCCCATCCCAAACCTCCAGCTAGCTGCTGGCTCTGTGTCCACCCCAGTGAAAAAGGAACAGGCTTTGTCCTTTGCTTGTGCCATCCCACACCAGCCAAATTTTGTGGGATGTTTTCTGCCTGGACAAAGCCTGTGGCACCAGCCAGCTGCTGATGGAGCAGCACTGCCTCAGCTTTGCTCCCCTTTACCTTCAGGATGCTCTCCAGCTCCAGGGTATCCTGCTCTACTTGTCTCGTTTTAGACTGCTCTTCTGCCCGGTTGCTGATGATGGTTTCCTCGAATGTCAGGCACTGCAAGGTAGCACAGGAGTGGCAAAAGCCACATTACAAACACATCCCCTAAACTGCAGGGCCAGCATTCAGGGCTCACTGTGCCCAGCAGCTTGCCAGAGAAGGGCTCACCTGGACCCTGGTGCAAGGAGTCTCCTCCTCTGGCTGCCTATGGGTCTTATCCTTGCTACCTCCTTCCCATAGCCCATCCAGGGCTGCTCAGACCTGTGGGTCGTGGTGTGGTTCCCCACCCTGTGCTCTGGGGAGCTCTGGGGCAGCCCAGGGGTAATGTGTGAGTGTGGACCTTCCTCCCCCACCTCCTTTATTTGATCTTTCCTGAATCCAGATGGCAAATGCTGCTCATTACCACCCAGTCCTCAGGCACTTCAAGCTGCTGCCAAAGTGGAACCTCTCATGCCTGGGTGTAATTAACCCTCTGATCCCATGCTGTAAATGGCTCTCTGATGGCGTCCCAGGCAACAGCTGGTGGTGGGGAGGATGCATGGTCCCCCAGGCTAGGCAGCAGTGCCAACACACTTGGGACACTGAGGTCACAGTGTACAGGGTGAAAAATGAGCCCAGAAGCAGGGGTTTCACATCACCGCAGACCCACTGACGGTAAGGATGATTACAGGTTAATTCCATCTGGTTTAAAACCACATTTTTCTAGACACTTCTTTGCCCTGTGCTGCTACTCCACTGTGATCAGAACCCAGCAGTTAACCAGGAACGCAGTGTGGGGCAGCAATGTTTCTAACTGGAATCACCCCTCTTGTAACAGAGCACTGTGCAGCTGGGAATACATGTCTGCAGGAAGGGATGAGCTGCCTTTGCCAGTCCCAGCCTGTCTCACCTCGATGTTGCTAGAAGGAGCAGATTTGTTCAGACTAAGCAGCAAACTAAGGTGAGGTGTACTGATGGGATGGGACAGTGTCTTTACCCTTCACAAAGGCTGTCAGTAGCTCTCTCATTACTTGCTGGTATTTAAAAATAGCTGCAGGGGAAACATCATCATCCCTCCTTGATGTCACAGGTGGCAAATAGAAGATGACATCTCCATCACTGCCTTCCCAGGACCAGTGCTTGTAATCACACCCAGTGCCTCAAAATTACTGATTATTTTTTTCCATGGACCTGGTTCCTTAGCTGAATGAGGATAGGAAAAAGCCCAATGCAGTTTTGCATGGCTGAGCACTGAGATGCTGCTGATATCTTACCTCCTTGGCAAACCTCTGCAGCGTTTCCAAGTTGTCTGCCTTTAATGCTCTCAGGGCATCCAGTTCTTCATCTTTCGCATCAGTGTCATTTTCATACTTGTCCATCCAGTATTCCAGCTTCTCTTCCACCTTCTGCATGGGGAGAGAGAATGCTCAGCACAGTGCACAGAGTGCACAGGCCAGAGGTTTGCTACTGTTACATGGCTTGCTCTCGGGATGGTGGTGAGAGTCCTGTGAAAGGTGCATCATCTTGAAAGGATCAAACCCCTAGGACTAGTGATAAACTACTGGTGGCCTGTGGGGCCCTTGCTGGGGCTCACCATGGAAGCTGCAGCACTGGACATTGGATGAGGAGATGAGGTTGAGCTCTCAGAGGTGTGTGACGGATGGAATAGCACTGGGGGTTAGTTTTGTGCACAGTCAGTCCTGGTGAAGCAAGTGACAACCAGAAGCCATTCTTTGTGTGTATGCCGAGGGAGAAGGTTTAAAACACAGAATTTGTCAGTGGGAAAGCTTTTATCCTCTGCCTGACTCCCCACCCACTTTCTGGATTAAGCTCATTGCACCAGGAAAAAGGTCCCAGGGGACAGCACTTCACGCTATTTCAGGTTGTGAACTTGGCTTTGTCTCACTCCTGAATAGGGGCAGGTGTTGCTGGAACAGTCACCCAGATGACTTCCTCCTATTCACGAATGACTTCTCCATAGCAACAAACCTGATTGCCTCCATGGAAAAATAATCTGAGGAAAAGCATCAATCTCATTACAGCAGCACAGCTGGACACACAAGGGAGGTGGTCATCCTCCTCTCTGTGGGCCCCTGCAAAGCCACCAGCTGCTGTCTGACACAGAGGGGCTGGTGCTTTGCTCTCTGGTGGAGGTCAGACAGGCTGCAGTGTGCACTTGGACAGCGCTGTCACAGTGAGCACTGATCAGACCCAGGCTCTGGGGTACAGAGCACACTGACTAATTGCTTACAAGATACAGGCCTGGTTTACACTCAAATGACATTTTAAAAATGTGCTGTCTCCAATTAAATTTTGTACTGGCAGTGACATCAGGTGCACTGCAGCAGTACAGGTTTTCTTCCAGTCACACATTTCATGAGATGCTGTGCAGTGCTATTGCTGATGATGGGAAAGCTCTGAACCTCTGGATCAACACCACAAGGACGTTCATGGTTGGTTACTGCTGAAAATAATTGTGTACAATAGTTGTGGGTTAGCAACTATCCAACCCCAATTCTTTCTCAGATAAAGATAAGGCAAAACTGGGCTGGCAGTTTGTGTCATTCCCTTCTCAGTGTCCCTTCTGTGCAGCCCTTGGGTCTGTGAAGTCACTGCCCTCACTTTGGGCTGTAGCACCCTTACTGAGGTGCTGAGAGTCCCAGCTACTGCCAGGGAAGGTCTAAATAAAAATCCACATAGCTAAATACAACTATCTGAGGGAGGAAACATCCATAACACCCGAATAAACAATGTCAATCATTGCATGGACCCTAATTTTAAGGAAATATATCTATATGTAGCAAATCCCAAGTCTGGGAGAGCTAGGTTAATTAAGACTTGAGGTTAAGCAGCAGTCATGAACCTGGTACATTTGGTGGAGTAATAACTGGTTTCCTTTAGGTACTAATTGATGATTTAGTATTTATAGGTTGCTGTTTTAAGCATTGGCTGACAGTCACACATACCTGATGGTGTTGCCTGAGGAAATTTTCAGTTTCCATGTGGACTCGAATCTTCTCATCAGTTTTGCTTCTCAAATTCTGTGATCAGCACAGACATGAGACAATGTTAGTGTGTATGTGTGTGCACTGTGTAGTCCACAGACATTTTTACCAGTGACAAAATTAACCAAGGCAGTCCTTGTCCCTGAACCACCCATGAAAAAGGGACAATTAGATCAGACCTTGATAAGTCAAAAAATGGTGTTTGCAAAACCAGAACAGTTTTCTAGTCCAGTTTACCTTATGGCCATGTGAGCAGCTCTATCAGCATAATCTGCTGTGGGCAATGCTGGGAGCTCAGGCTGCTTGTGTTGCTAAATACCCTTGTAACTACCCCTTTGGACATACTTAGAGGTTTGGTTTTCAGACCATGGCATTACTTTAGGCATTCCCTGTCTCCTGCAGCCATGCCATCCCTGCTGTTGTTGTTTGCAGGACCATACAGAGAAGCAATGGAAGAGATAAAGGTTTCTAACCCCTATGAGTTTCCTAATCCAGTTCAAAGAGATGTGTTGGTGACTGTGATGGAAAACAGGAAGGACATCTGGAGGATGAGGGAGGGCTCTTCCCTTACTAGGTGGAGATGTCTTCCAGTATGGGCATGGGGAAGGGCTTACCTGAATTTCCTCGTCCAGGATACTCTCTGTATTCCTGCACTTCTTCTGGGTTTGGTGGACCTGGAGGTCTGTGCTTTTCTTTACGTACCAGCACTCAATGTCCAATTTGGCCTTCATCTCTTGGAACTCCTCTTTGAGGCAATCAATAATTTTATCTCGGTTCTAGTGGAAGAGACAGAAGCAGCACAAAATCAAGCCTGGAGACTGAGGTCAGCTCACTGTTCCTTGATCTCTCCACTCCCTGTTAAACTCAGAAGAGACAAGCCTGGAGGCTTCACACTTTCCCTGAATATTGCTCCATTTCAACCTCTGCTTCAAAGGGAAGTTTGATTTGTAACTCATATAAACAGCAATAAACACATCAGCGAGGAGTGATTACCCCTGGAGAGGGTGGAATGATGAACAGAGTGGGATGAGAAGCCAGGCCTTCTGGTCTCTGGTCCAGGAATGGATTCAGTTGTGTTTAGGATAAGCATGAAAGAAGCCAAATAATTTTAGCTGCTTAAAGCTAGGCTTTACTTTTACTAACCTCTTGGATTAGACAGTCTCAGTGAGTGAGCATCTGTAAGAGGATGATAATGTCTCAACCCCACGTAAGCCAAAGTTTGTTATCCTAAAGTATACCCTATTCCTTGGATTCTTTTTTTTCTAGTTATGCAGCAACTGTAAAAACACACCCTTAGGAACAGGTGCAAATCTAATCCTGTCTCACTCATATGTTTAAAGAGCTCTTTCTTGAAATCTTACCAGGTAGATGATGCCTGCTTTCTTAGAAAGCCATACAAAAAGAAGTGCCAAGGAAAAGCTGGCAATGAGCTCCCAGCTTCTCCCCATAGCACTTCTTGCCAAGTGCCAAGAAGTGGCAATGAGCTCCCAGCTTCTCCCCATGCCATGTTTTGCAATGGAGCTGAGCCTTCCTGGGAGAAATCTGTTCCCCAGAGCTCCCCCACGGGCCAATCCTGAGTGGTTTGCCCAGCTTTTGGAGTGTGCTCAGGAAGCAAAGCACATTTGCTTGATTTGGGATTGCTGTTTTGTTTACTCCTTTTTAACTAATTTCTTTGAGTAACAGATAAAAGTTCATTATTCTGAGGATGGAACTTGGAAGAAATGCCTGTAAAACTGAAAAACTCTAGATATCTGTATCAAGAGTTAAGAAGGTCATCAAAGTCTCCTGTGCAATTACACAAGATGGATGTGAACCTCTGGTTTGGCATCCGATCGCTCCATTACAGCCTTTCTCTTTGCTTTCCTGCCATGTTCTGATGCGTTTGATACTCATCAGCCAAACCTCACAGCTGAAGATGAAATAGCAAAGTGCTGGCATTTCAGCGTTTTGAAGCCCACATATCTTGTCTCTGAAGCACCATCACATTCCTTAGCTGTGTAAACATGGCAAAATGCCACAGGAAGAAGCCAACTCAATAGTGCTGTGTTTGAAAGCCTCTGCAGCATGACTCATTTGGAAAAGGTTTCCTTATAAGAAGAGTTTGGAACAGTTAAAAGGAAAGTCCTTCCTTCTGCATTCCTTGTTGGACGTAGTTAGGAAGAGTAAAGTACATTTATAAGGCTCAGGACAGTTGGGAGCCTTGGCTGATGCTGTTTTGAGGGTTCAGAGGTCAGGTGCTCACATATTTTTTAAGGTTTCCAACATCAGATACTAATTTAAGGCCATATCATCATATGACTGCAGACAGCTACAGACATGAGCTATTTGTGCCCTATTAAGGCTTCTGCTAAAGGCTTTTATTTTCCCTGGCATGGAGTTTTGGTGGCCATTGGGAGGGTTTGTGTTCCTGGTCAGTAGACATGAGAGGTGACTGTACCACTCTATTTTGAGATTGTCTTCCTGGGTCATGGTGAAATCCTGTCTAAATTGAGGGGCTGGCAGAGAGACTGGGGAAATGCTAATTAAAAAAATCCCCAGATTTTGTGGCACTGAGGCTCAGCAAAGTCAAGCACTGCTGATGTCAGCATGTTACTGCTATCTGCCAAAGATCTGCAAACAGGTCAGAAAGGAAGGTTCAGCCTAGGTTACAAAGTACTCAGAGAGTTGGGGCAGAGCATGAACATTTCACCAGTTTTTCTTTTTCATTTCATATTTTAATAAAGAAAAATGTGCTTTTGGTTGCAGTGCCCCAGGCCTCAGCCTGTTGTTTCCTCTGTTGTAGGGCATGTTTGTGGTTTGGAGTTGGTCTGCATTGTTGTAAAACATCTTGGTTAGAGGTGGGGAGTCTGGGGGCTTGGTTACACAATCGAAAGCAGATGGGAAGTGAAATGCAAAGCCCCACTGGTGGTTTACAGCAGCGTTTGCCTGGAGAGGGAAAGTTACCTGCAGGTGTGTGGGCAGCTCCTGCTGCTGGGGCTGGTGCTGCAGAACTGGGGCAGAATTAGCTGCAGGTAGGAAATGCAGCAGTGAATACCCATGATCTGTGGGCACGATCTGCAGAGTGTGCTGTTCCCTGGACCGCAGAGACAGGTACTGGGAAAAGGAGTTAATATTTATTCATTCTGGTTTACCATAGGAAAGGTCCCAGCCAGGACACGGAGCACTTTCATAGCTGATGCAGTAAATCTCTGGGCTGCTTATTTGGTATGACTTCAGTGTTTAATCTGCCAAACCAAAGATGCAAAATCACCCCTTGTGTCCAAAACTATCATAAAATTGGCAGAGATCAAGATCAAAATCCAGGAAATAGTTGCCAGGAGCCAGTCTGCTTCACAAGCAGGTAAACAAGCTGATTTTCTCTGATCTCTCAGCTCACAGACGTCAGCTCAGAGACCTGTCTGCTGTCACCTGGTGCCACAGGAGTCTGCCCCACAGATGCTGTTTGGCTGCAAAAGGCAACTGCATTTAGCTAGAGACATTATCCATGCTCCTCTGTTTTCATTTACTTTGATTTATCTCTTTTGTAAGTGCCACCTAGAGCTCTAAGCAATTCCACAGCAATTAGTGTTTACAGTCACTTAAAATACAGCTGGTTACAAAAATAGCCAACGGGAGTAAACAGTCTGAGGAATCCTTCAGCAGTCAGAAGAACCCCCACTGCCAGCAGCACACCATTTGGCAGGGACAGGAGTGCTGTGCTCTGTGCTGAAGGAGAGCCCTCTGCCTTGCTCCCATACCGAGTGCCTTGGAGCTCAAGTCTCTCACTGGCAGCTGCAGCATCTCAGCTTGCAGAGCCTGGAGATATGCTTAGATGTAGACACCTGCTGCAGCCTGGATTTGCTCTCCCTGAAACCACAACATGCAGCCCTACAGACACTGCAGTAAGGCCATAGCCTGCATCTCTGTCCCAGCTCCAGAACATGCCTGTGCTGCACATCCCCAGCAATGCCTGGGCCCAAAGGACAACGAGGCTGGCAGGTCATGGGGCTTCGCCAGAACAGCTCCTGCAGCCCTCTGCCAGCTCACCGATCCCAGAACTGCAGGAACGAGCTGCTGAGGGCAGTTTGCTGGCACAGGGAGCAGACCTGTTGGCAGCAGCATTCCTGTGGAAAGTCCTGCCCCCCTGGAGCCAGGTTTGGATCTAGTACACCAGCTCCAGCTCTTACTGAGCTCCTTAGGGCTCTGCCAGCAATGGAATGAAGTCACCTAGGAGCTCAGGACCATCACAAACCTTGTGCCTTCTACTGTAGTCACCCAGTGCAATAGTCCAGTAGAAACATGCACCAGTGGGTATGTGTATATATTTAAAACATTCCCTAGAACAATCAGTTGATGCATTTGTCTTCCTGGGACAGGTTAAGGAAAGACACATGACAGATTTTAGTTGTACTACTACAAGCATGGCTGTGTGGCACAGTGGAGCTGGGAGTGTTGTAACAGCCCACACAGCACTGAAGTTGCCGACCTGTTTTCAGTGGCACTGTGGGCAATGTCTTGGATTTCTGTATGGTTGGTAGCTGCAATGTTACTGCTTGTTATGACACCACTGCTTGCACACATGTATGGCATGAGTATACCACAAAACCTACAGGACATAAGAAGTCCTTAGGTGAAGAGCAATGTAGGAATGCCAAAGTTTATATTCCTATTTTTTTTTGTTAAGCTGTATACTCCTATATGATATTAATTTGTTTCAAAGCCTGTACAGACTACCATCTGTCCAGAAAACCAGAGAAAGTATTTTATACAAGCAGCAGCAAACAGAACCCCTACAGCCAAACCTGAGCTATCAGTGCTGCTCCTGCACAGAGGGGTAAGAGCGAAGTCAGATCATTTCAGCTCCTTTAGAGAGATCAGTGCTTTCCAAGAGGAAAGAAAACAAAATAAATAAGAACATTTAGCATTTGATTTGTGTTCCATTAGAAAGAAAAACGAGCTGAGCAGGCTAATACAGTATTAATTAGCATCTAATTAAGAAGTACCAAGGCTGAAAACACACGCAGAGGCAAAGTGAGTGAAGCAAAAGCTGTGTTTTTCTGGTTCCAGGATTAGATTTGTTCGCTTTTGTTTTCTCCTCCACTGGGCTGGAGACAACCATGTAGGCTTTTGTCTACAGGTCTGTGCATTATTATTGTTGTTGTTCAAAGTACTCCAAAATCAGCAAGCTGTATTTTTGTTTTTAATTAGTTGGCGAGGTGACAAATCATGCAAGTGTCTGTAAAACTGCCCACGGGAAAATCCCATATGAAGTGAATAGAGATTATTCACCCTTGGGAGACACAGTGAGACACCATTATTTTTGGCACAGGAGGAAAGCAATACTTGAAAGTAGTCTTGTCTTTGATTTGTTGTCAAAGCTGAAACTATAAGGAAGCCCAGAAAAGGACTTTTAAGCTGGAAATATAAACCCAAAATCCCAGATATATGCAGATCCCACTTGATGAGGCAAAAAACCAGAACTGAATTAGCACTGAAAGAACAAGGAGAAGAGCCCCCTCTCAGCATGGGAGCTACACACCTTCTTATGACTGCAAGAGGTAGGAGGGGTGCAGGGCAGGACACAGAGAAGTGCTCAGCCTGACTGCACAGTGTCAGGACATTGCTGCTGGTGAAAGACAGGATGATTACAGCCCCTCCATATGCCAAACCTTGGGAAGGCATTAAACCAGAACTGGATAAGGGTATTGTGTGCACAGACATGGTGAGGTTTGAGGAACACTACACAGAAGGAGAACTACCTCATCATAGTCACTAGTTTGGGGAGTGGGAGAACAGGAACTTCCCAGGTGCCATCAGAGTCTGACTGAGGAGGGACAATGCAGAAGGAAATGGATACATCCTTCATGTCTTTACAACCATCCTGTATTTACAATCAAATTTCCCACTGCACATGCATCCAGGCTGCCAGCACAAACCCTTCCAGTTTTGCCAATCATACTTCACTGGCATGTCAGGAGTTTAAATTCCTCTCTGTAGTCAACTCCATTGTGGCTTGATTGCTGTCCACACTTTTGTCCAAAGACAAAATTCAATGATACTGATTCTCTCCTCAGGTGCCCTTGCTCTCCCCTTGCTCACTACTGAACCAGGTGTCAGATTCTTGTTCCTGTTCCAGCCCCTGTGCAGCTGGGACCCAGCCTGCCTGTTGCTTGTTTGTTATCACTCTCTCCTGCCTCAGCAGGCCCAGGCTACATTTCCATATTGCATGAACATCAAGTCTGAGCTGTCTGGTGAGCATCAAAGTGACCAGTGATAAGCCATTCCATTGATCTGCACTTGTGTAGCAAGTCTGACATTTCCAGAATGCCCCAGATTTACTGTGCGTGCACACACCATTTGCATGATGCAGACAGAAGGGCTGAAGCTTTCCAGAAAGATCAAGTTGACAGCATATGTGCAATAACATTGATCTGCCCTTGTGTAGGCATGTTTGGGATTTTCTAATGTCTAGAAGCCTAGAAAAATAGATTAAGATAATGATATTTTCCTCAGATAAAAATGTAGGTAGAAAAATGAGCTGCCCCTGTCCTAGGTGTCTGTCTTTCTCCCTCTCTCTTTGTCACATTCTTCTGTGCCAGATGTCATATCTGCATGAGTAGGTTTGACAGAACCTTAGATACTGCTATCTGCAGATAACCTTTTTCTTACTGATTGCAGATGTCTGTGTTTTGCCACTCCCAGCAGCGTTTTTGGGATATTCTAATTTGATCATGGTCTCTCATGATTATGAGCATTTTGAGCTCCCATTTGAAATCCATCAGACACTGTTCTAAAAGTCATTAACAGGCTTATTCCTAATGCAAATCGCAGTTATTCTCCTTCTATACTCCTAAATGATGGCTCATTATGTATGCCACATGTCCTCTCTGAGTGCTAGCTCCTGGGCAGCAGAGACAAGCTTGCGCACAGGATGCCCCCTGGCCCAGTGCCCAGTGCTAAGTGCTCTCACCTGGAGGTCTATTTCAGTTTGTGTCTTGACATCTTGCAGCTGTTTTCGGAGTGACTCTATCTCCTTCTTTCCTTCTTCCTCCCTGAAGACAAGTGGGAAAATACAATTGCTGAATATATCAAAAAAAGACAAAAGCTGTATGCCTAGAAGAGGAACTTCCTGTCTCCTGATACATTGTGGTAAGTCATAACCAGAGACTTCTCACAAAAATTAGTGCCTTGGTCAGTAAATCCTGAAAGAAGAGGTGCCCAGGCTGAGCAAGGTGGATGAGAATGAAAGGGAGAATGAGCCAAAAAAACCAGGGGACACTCTTGCTGAAAGCTTGGAATGGACTTGAGCATGATGCAGTTCCTACAGGAGAGAGGAAAGATGCCTGTAATCGAGTCACAGTTCGTGCATTTCAGACAGGAATCTCCCTGATTCTGTGCAGAAGTGTCTGAGCAGCAGAAAGTGCCAAATTGTGTGTCATTATATGTATGGAGAATGTGTTTTTTTCATATCAGACTTAAAATCTTCCAAATAAAGCACTGCCTCAGGTCCTGAGATCCATGAAGGAATCTTAGTAAAGGCCAAAAGTTGAGAGGAGTTCATCTATCTAAAACAAAGCAGATGCAGTAATGTTCTAGGTGGTATTATCTTATTTTAATCAGAGTGCTTATCTAAGCTTTTATGCTTATGATTTGATTTAATACCAGTGAATATCACAGTTGGCACCTGAGACTTTGTATCATATCCAACCTTACAATCACACATGCATTTCATTTTCAGAGTCCTTAGCTGGGTGGCTGTGATGAACAAAAGCCCATGATAGGGAGTGCCAGTCTCACAGCAGACAGCTCTCAGGGTAGTGTAGTCACACAAAACCAGGCAAGTATTTAATATCTTGAAAGACAGATCAAGTTCATTCCATGAAAAGAATGTATAGTACAACTGACAACACAGTGGCTAGATATGATTGACAGAATGGAATCAACAGGATTATGTCCTTTCCAGTTATAATTTGTCTGCTCCTCTCCGCCTTCCAGTATTGGACAGTTACTCCACAACCAATTGCTGCTCTCATTTTTGCTTTCTGTGCCTTCCATGGATAAACAATAAATCCCCTGGTTTTGGACAGTGGAAGAGCTGGGTTTCATGCTTGAAATCACACATTCCACTGGAAGCTGGGGAATTGCCCTGGAGGCAGACCCCTGAGCCACCGCAGGAGCTGCTCCAGTAGGTTGGACTCATGACAAAACATGACTTAAAGCAGCTTTACTGTGCACCCTAAATGATGGGTCTGAGCTGCTACACAGGGCAAAGTAGCTTTAAAATGTTCAAATACTTGTCTGATTACTTCAGTTCTCTCTGACAGTCTTGGGATTGCACCAGAGCTTCGCATGCTAAAAAGCCCTCCAGACCACTAGTGCTCAGAAGTTTTGAGCTGAGGAATCACCAGTTTGAGCTGAGATGATAACAAATCTGGACCCTCTAAGATTTGGGACAGAAAAGGATCTACAATGCAGTGGCTGGTGGATTAGCCTTAAATAAGACAACTCCTCTGTCACCATCTGTGCTAGCCCCTCACTGCTGCTGGGGAAAGGGAGTCTGTTAGCATATAGGTCAGAGCAGATTCTCCTGGGCATCAGATAACCTAAGAGCCATATGTTGCTGGCCCTGATTTGAACAGATTCTCTGCTGCTCTGACTTTCACTGGGGACAGGAGTTAAAGATCAGGGAGCTCCTACATCACATTATGCTTTAATTGAAATGAGGTAGCATGTGCATTAATGCAAACACTTGTGCCTGCTGTGGTCAAAGCTCAGGCAGTTCCTAGCTCAGATCAGTATCAGTACTATCTATTATTTCTTTCTGAAGGGGAAAGAATTGCAGTTAGTAAAGCAGACAGAATAATGCGAGTCGAAAAAGTGAAATCCTTTCTGTATTTTGGTTTTCTTCGGAGTTTTTTTCCTTTTCAACATGTACAGAACAGGAATGGGTTTGTCTTTCAGCAGTTAAGCAGGGAAGAACTGAGCACAACACTGACCTGATGAGGAGGTCATTAAACTTTCTCCTTTTTGCCTTCTCTCTCTCATTAGCTTCCATTAGGCTATTAAATGTTCCTGATTCTTGCATATTTTTCATAGTGTCTGCAATTACATCACTTGCATACTGCCTGCAGTGACAAAAGAAACACAGCAATGTTTTGCAGGTATTGGTACTACAGTGACTGGCACCTTTGTCCATATTGTTTACAGCTAAAAGGTAGGGAAATATAAGATCCCTTTTCTGTTCCTATGTCCTGTCAAACCCAGGAGTGTTTCTCCCTTGGTATCTGCTTCTTGCATGTCTCGAGAACTCTGTATTAGGAGTTGGTTGAAGTTTATAACTTAGAAATGCTGCCCTACATGTTACTCTGGGAAATAGCAAAGAGGCACAAACACATCCATGCTGTGCCAGAGTGTGCTGCCATTAGGAAGAAGGCTGCTGGCCTGCAGTAGTGATGACAGATACATGGATCTTGGAAAATGAGACCTGGGGATGCGAACAAGTGTGTCTGTGCAGGGATGTATGGATGCCAAAATATCCTAGTACAGCCCTATGCTGATCTTAACAAATACATGGGCTTGTCCAGTTTGTTGAATTTCATGGTGCAAGTGGCACTTATATTTTAGCTGCATTTTCCTCATTTGTGTTAGCCCTTTGTTGAAATAACATTAAAGGACAGAAGCCACGATGCAGAAAAATGCATAGTGAACACTCAGCTTCCCAATTCGTCTTTTAAGCCAAAGGCTGGTGGGGTTTCTGCAGATCAAGACACTGGATTAGGTGCAGGAATAAAGTTTTTTTTTAAAAAAAAAAAGATATAAAGTCTCTAGTCCTTATATATATTCTCTGTTCTATAAAGGAGAATAGCTGTATCTGCCACAGTAGTTCTGTGTGCCCTGCAGAATGACTGAGTTCACAAGACAATGCTCAGATCCCACTTTGCCTGTGGGATCTGCTAAGGGAACCTGATTCCAGGTACCAGAACATCAGCACTGATTAATACCTGGCATGAATTCCACCCAAGCAACCTTTATCAACTGGGTAATGTTTTGCAGCTCTATTCAAAATAAACTGCTGGTCATTACTTGGCATCCAGAGGCAAGAAAAGGCCAGAACCAAGTGGCCTGTAAATCTACATCCCACTGCTCTCTTTAGAGGAACTCCTTCTGAACCAAGGCTGAGGTACTCTGGCAGTGGGAGAGTAGGGAGCTTGTATTTTTGCTTTCAAGATATAGACTGAGAACTTTACAGCTCTGAGCATCCCCCACAGGTGCTTCACTCACCTGTCAGCCTGAATTTTTCTGAGCTTCTCGACAAACAGAGGATCCCTCCTGGCCCATTTGGAAAGATGATGGATGCTTTTTTGGTCTTGCTGTTTGTGTTTGATGTTTTTCAGGGCCATGGAGGTAACTGTTTCCCTACTCTCTTGCCTTGCTGACATAAGCTCTGTGTGGTTCGTGTCCAGCTCCTTCTGGGTCTCTATCATTTCTTTCATTTCCTGGGTGCCAGTCTAAAAGGGAGTAAGAGAGACCTGCTTGTACATTGAATAGTGGAAATAAACCCTCTGCAGCATCATGTGAGAGGAAGCAAAATGAATAATAAATGAGAATGAAGCTATACTGAGAGCAGTTGATAGTGCAGAGAGTGGAAGAGCAGAAATATTCATGTTGGTTAGCTCTGAGCACACAGTGTAGCTTATTAAAGTTTACAGGCTCAAAAGCCCTAAAGTGACAGGATTAGAAAACGCCTTAAAAGGTGAATTCATCCATTCCAAGAGATGATGGCTCAGACTATGTCATTCCTGACATGGTCTTAATGACCTCCAGCAGTGGAGACTACACACCCTCCTGCCAGTGCCAGCACATCACAACAGTCTTTACCACTAGAAAGTTTTTTCTCCTCAGCAGCAGTTGGGCCTCTGGCTTCTTGTCCTGGTCTACATAGGCACAGAGAACAAATCATTCCCTTCTTTTTTGCAGCAACTTTTATGTACTGGAAGACTGTTACCCCTCTGCCTCCTCTCCATCTTGGACATTTCCCACTGCCTGTCCCCACGAGCTTTCTCTACAATATTATTGTTAGAACTAGAGCTGTGTGGAAACAGAAGTAACGGACATCAGCTATCTGCTTAGCAGGTTTTTTGAGACAGTGACAGCAGAGGAAGGATCACATGAATTCAAAGAAGAAAATCAAAATATTGGCAGCTCTTTTCTGCATAGAAAGGTAGATCTTGTGAGCTCTTCCTTCTAGGAATTTCTTTGTTCTACGTGCAGGTATATACACTAGGACATGAAAAGAGAAAATTTTCTTGCCTGCCTACCAACATCTCTGTGGCTGAACACTTCACAGCAGCACTGCTCACTCCAGCTAACACAGTCACTGCCAGCCCCATCCTAGTCCACAGCTGCCTGCTCCACACCCTGGCTGCTTGGGGAAGTGGACAGAGAACTCACGGAGCTGAAACATTTTCCAGCAAAAAGGGGAGAAGGTTATATTTAGCAGCACCAGTTCTCAGTCCAGATCTTTCCACAACCACACACACATTTGTGCCAACAGAGCACAGAGGGCAGAGTAAGAACAAGTGGTCAGGGCAGCAGCTGTGGATGCCAGGAGTACTTCCAAAAAGTTACTTGTCAAGCAAGACTCTGTCAGTGGTCTGTGATGCCTCTGCAGTCTGTGAGGCACTGCAAGGGGTTGGTTTCCTTCTGAGTGTCCTGGACATCCCTGGATGGGATGGATCAGCCTCTGGCAGTGCCTGACTCATCAGTGACTACAGAAGGAGTCTAAGTGACTACATGCTTACTTTTTGGACAGTTAAATTTACATTAAATGAATCACATGCAAAGTATACACAGACCAATGAAAATTACACAGTTACTCAGTAAAAAAGGGTTTCAGTAGCTGGCTGGTGATGGCTGTACTTCAGAAAGAACTAATTTTGGCACACACACTGCTTTAATGTCATGTAGATTTTATGAATGTTCTGACAGATGTTTTTAAAGTCTGGTTAAGTTCAAGACAGGCAATAACTGGATTGTCTGTAAACATTAGGGACTTACTAATAATTACCAAATAACTATGTAAGAGCAAGAAGTTTGTAACCAGTTGTGTTACCATCTGTGTAGTCTCCTAACTGTTTGTCTGTTGCCCAGAATTCAGCAAACAGAAAGGCTGCCTCCCTCTGGGGGATGCACTGTGTGAAGCAATGTATGAGAGCATCTGATCTGGAAACCCAGTGAAGTGCTGCCAGCATTGTGATTAAACCTCTCCAAAATGTCATCAACTGAAATTTAGATGTCAGTCTTTGAAAATCACATTGATTTGTTAGACTGACAGAGCTCCAGGGTGCTGTGCAAATACAGGTCTTCTACAAAGCCAACGAAAACAGCCAAATGTAAACTGAGAAACAGGCAGGAGTAGCAAATTACAGAGCACCAAAGTTAACAAGTAGCTTCCCTAAGCTATTTTCTTGTTTCTGCATTGTTTCCCATTCAGTTTGGTTTGGCATCTTTAAGAACGCAAGTAGGGTTTGTAGTCTGTGAGAAAATTGTTGTTTAAGAAGTGACTTGGTAAAAATGAGCGTCTGTGATTGAAGAAGGCGGCTAAGGTGTTTTCTCTGTAATTTCAGTGTACCTTCAGCAGGTCTGTCAGCCTCAGGCTGTGCACCTGAAGAAGGACAACTCCTGCTGTCCCAGAGATATGCTTTTTCTCTGTGCTTTTGCTGCTGGCACGTAAGAGGTTTCCCACCAGCTCGGAGAGAGAGAAGCAGCCTGTGGGAACAGGCGAGGCTGACTACTAGGACTCTTATAGGGGAGGAGTGCCCTCTATGGCACAGCCTGAGCATCGTTCCCCCTGAAATCCACTGTGACTCAACTGCTGCTGCCTTGCGATGGGCTTTTGGAAAGATAATATGGAAAAGAAACATTTAGTAAACAACACGTTGATTTACCTTCTTTAGGGAGTACATCAGAGTAAACAGCATGAGATGTGAGAACTCGGATCCCAGGTTTTATTTCCATCCTAGTCACATACTTGTCTTGAGTTAATCTTAAAAAAATTTCAAACCTGATAAAACTGGACACAGTCTCTATGTCACTTGCAGATCACAGAATTTAGAACCATTTATCCCTCAGGATAGTCTCATCCTGTTTGCTGTGTCTAACAGCTACCAGAAACATCACACCACCTTCCTCCATGGCAGCAATGCTCTGCCTGACAGTTAGGCCTTCTCTGCTCATCTTCACCTCTCTGTCCGAACCCTCTTAGTTATGATGCCTATTAGAAATCAACTAATAAGAAATGATAATTGAGAAAAGGTAGTTACTAATATATTTTGAAGGGCATCTTAGTGCATTGTGTGTTGGGAACTAAAGGAACTTTAGACTTAAGAATGAGCAGAATTCTCCTGTTTTCAGTATTTTCCAAAATCCTATTTCTATTTTTAAAGTATCTGTATATCTACATAAGAACCTACATATGTTTTGCTTCCTTTCCCCTAATCTTTTGCAAAGGTCAACAACCAAGGTTTTAAAATTATAAGCCCAGGAACTTCATCTCAGGTCAGTAGGATCCTTTGCAAAGGTCTTGACAAAGGCTTCTCAGTGATGCTCAGTATAAATATTAAAATTAGGTCATCCATGCACTTTTACTGTGTTTCTTCATACCCAGGGCCATGAAACACTTACTGGAAAATTCTTTGAGTTGACTGTACAAAATTCTGGTAAAAAACATGAAACAAAGAAAAGATTTAAAAAGAAGATATATATCTTTCCAAGCAGGGAGGATAGAGGCACATACATGGCTGAGGTCTGTCTTGTTCTTATATGAAACTGGCATGATATGTCCAAGAATGGAGAGCTGATCCACACAACTCTCTAGCACAGCAGTAAACAGCAGAGCTTCCAGAGGAGTGACTTTTTCCATTTGTTTAGTCTCTGTGTTCTTGCTAAGAAGAACAAAGACAAAAGATATCAATCAGAAAAACACTATGGTGTTAGTAATGTTAGTAAGAGCAGTTTAAACTAAAGGTAGACCCGAAATAGCCTTATTTGCAGCCTTCCATATACTTCCCTGGTTTTGTTTATAGCCTTCCATACACTGTTTATAAGAGGATCCATGCTCTGCTAATGGCTGCATTCAGGGACAGTGGGAATGTTTGGCTTTCACAAAACAAAGAGGTCCTGGTCACTCCTCCAGCAGATGTGGCTGAGAGGGATATGGAGGGCACAGACTGGGTGAGGTGCCTCACCATTCAGTTCAAGGGGGAGCAGAGCTTCCTAGTGGACTTTGAGAAACAACAGAACAAAAGTGCCTTTTTAAAAGGAAAAAAACCATCCACATCTTACAAAAATCTCGGATGGTGAATCTTTGTGCTCATTCCATGTTACTACTGTGTAGCCTTCACACTTTTATGATCCCAGTTCCCCCAGCTGGAACTGTTACCCCTTTCAGATGTGGAAAGTCAAACAAGAACCAATATCTGGACTAAGTAAACTATCTTTAATGTTCTGCATTGTTTCGTTTTAAATTGCATTGTAAATGTGAAGCTGATGCACAATTAAGCACGACTTGGCCTTGCTTACAGATGGAACATTGTGAAAGTGCATCTAGGGAAAGGTGGAAATTCACAATTAATCCACAAAGGCATAAAAACACCTGCACAAAATGGAAAGATTCTCTGAGATTTTTAGTGCTTTGGAAAGCCATTGGACAATCCCCCCAAACCCTGTATGTACAACCAGTTGCAGTTCAGTTGCATAACACTTTGCACAACTGGAGTCTCAAGTGTCTGAGATCCTGAGTGTAATTGCAATAGAAGCATCAAAAGCCACTAACAAAATCTTCATTTGGCTGCTACACCTACAACTGGATTTGTGCCATCTGTAAAACCCTTGAATAAACATTTTCTAGGCCTGCAGAATATTACAGTCCAATCTGTAAGTGTGCCAAAGAAATACATCAGACAGTGCCTGTTAGCATAAGACATGGCCACATTCTATGAAAATTAAAGAGGTTTGGATGCAGTTGTGCTCTGGATCACTGGAAATCACAGATTTTTCCTAAGCAAGTGTTTAAAAACATGCATACTTGCTATAACTTCTCTGGAGCTGTTATCATTTGTCTTCATCCTTTTGTGTTGGGTTGGTTTGGGGTTTTGGGCGTGGTTTTTTGTTGTTGTTGTTGAAGAAAATCAAGTAATTTGCAGTTAGAACATAAAGATAATTCCACTTGGGCAGAAAAAAAAAAGGGGGCCCGTATTTCAGTGCAGGTTTATTCAATGTGTGTTCATACAGAATGGATAAAATAAAAATAGCTTAGATTTTAAGTATTTGTCCCTGTCTGTTGCAGTAAGTTGTTTAATGCAACGTGTAGAAATGTGCTGTCCTTTGTAACAGGACACAGCTCTCCTTGTGGATAAGAACACTGCTAGAAAGTGTGTGAGGGGCAGTGACTGACTCTCTGCAAATGCCTCTGAAGAGCAGATACCAGAAGAGACACAGCTATTTAGGTTAAAGGATAATACTGGTCTGGAGTCAGAGGAGTGTAATTCCCCTAGGACAGGCAATTATGATAAGGTTTCTAACTTCTGGATGGATGGAGATATGGAACAGCCTTTCAGACAAGGTGATGGAAGAGGCATCCTGACTTACTTGAAGTTTGCTTAAATCATGGCAGGCAAAGATAATAGCCAAGCAGAGATTCCGAACATCAGCAATGTGCTCACCATCCTTCTTGTACTGTTTATACTGACCTACCTAATTAATTCCACTTCGGGATTATCTTTCTTGGGTAGACACCTGTGAATAAGAAGGAAATTATTTACTCCCTTTGCTTCTGAGATTTTTTCATTCCTTTATCTTAATTACTAAAAAAAAATCATAACACCTTGAGATAGAGTTCTGATAATATAATAAATAATTAATAATCATCAATCATAAATAAATAACAAATATATAAATAATTAAAAATTAAAATAACACATACATAGCAAATAATATGTATAATAAACTAAAAACATCACTTTTCATTTCTTTTCAACCTTGAAGTTAATGACAGAAGTGAAGGCACAGGAAGAGAGTCAGACTGTGTCTCTTTCCAGTCAACAGGCACTAATAAAATATTTTTAAATGTTTTACCCATTTTTATCTTTTTCAGAAATCTCTGACCCATATTTTGAGTCTAAACAACATCAGAATAATCTATTACATGTGGAGTCCTAACTCTAAAAATATGGTGGAAAAAGATTTGTTGGGAGAAGGCTGTGACAGATGGCTACAGCAGCATTTCTGAACGAAGAATAACACTTGCAGCTCTCATAGGAAAAAGTGACTTATTTGGGAAAAAGGGGGGATGCAACAGCTTTTCCTCTAGTCCATCAGCAGCTTCTGCCCAGGAGAGAATTAGCTCAAGATATTAATATGTGCTAAAAAAACTGACAGCTGGAATGTTCCTGTAAATCCTGGTGCTTTGCTCCTCCTGTAGAGCTCCTCTTATCCCTATCCTCACTCAGCAGATCTGTATGCCAAGCCAGTAGGTTCTGGGCTTATGTTTACTTGCAATTGAGAAGGAAACCACTGTCTGGGGCACTAGGAAACACTACAAAATGAGTTGCTGGCTCTGGATTATAGTGTCAAGGCAGTGCCCAGAGACCCTCCCGATGCAGCCACTGCCCTTCATCACTGTGTTTGCTGAACTCCCTCGTTAAACTCTATTAATAATAATTAAAAGGAGGCATGTGAAGGATTCAGCTTCCCCCAGGAGTTCAGTTTGACATTCTTTCCCTGCTGATCTAAAGGGAAAGAAAAACATATCAAGAAATAATTTGTAAAACAACTGTATGAAAGCTCTGGCCTCCAGCTCCTTTGGGAACTGCAACTCCCTGTGCTGTGTGAGAGTCCTGGATGTGCATTTCTCCCACCCTCCTGCCTGATCCAGGGACATGGCTTCAAAGGCAGCACTTGTGCAGCATTCCTGGTAGTCAATTAAAGAGATTCCAATGAATCCCAGTGAGAAAATGCAAAGCTGAGAATGTCATATCTCCTTTGGCTCCCTTTGGCAATGAACAATTGTGACTACCCACAGGGGCAGTGCCTGGGGCAGAAACCACAAATAGCCTCCTTTGTACCCAGAAGTGTCTCTTAGGAAGCAAAACAGCATAGCCTCTCAAGGCTCTGCAAACTCAGGAAGGGAAGGGAAAGGGGAAAGGGGAAGGAGGAAAAGGAAAGGGAAACCTTGAAAAGCTGAAGTAACCTTGATTTTGGCTCAGAGATGCAATTTCAGTTTCCTCCTGACCATGGAGAAAGACTTCTCAGAGCTGCTGCTCTCTGAGGCTGCACCAGTGAGGACCCAGTGGTGAAGGATGTGATGCTACTGTTAGCTGCATGTCCCACATGGGACTAAAACTATACAGGACAGGAAAATAGAAGTTCCATGGAGCATTTTTTGCCTGTGGATTCTCTACTGCTGGAAACCAGAGTGTTTTGGCAGACAGTTCAGAGCAGGGACTGTCCTTTCTCTGCACAGAGGCTCCTTGCACACATTGGATACTGTTAACTGATGACTGAGCATTGCTTTGCTTCCTACCTTTTCCTTAAGAAGAAACCAACAGATAATTTGGATAATTCATTCCATTTCATCCCTTCTGCTCCTACTTCCTAACAATTTCATCTCTCTAAGGAAAACCTCTGCATACACATGTTTAGAAGGCAATGAATGCTTCTACCCTGGCCCAGCAAAGTACAAACAGGCTTAATTCTCCTCCTGGATTGGGATTTAATTCCTCAGGCCAATTCCTCAGGTTGAGGCTCTCCGAGCCCAGCTGGTGGCAAGATGTCAGTAGACTTTACTCCTGAGATCCAGTTTTTCATGGAAGCACAGTGGACACATGTTCAAGTGCAGTTTAAAATACTCAGGAGCAAAGTGGCAGTGAAACCCAGACAGCCTGGGCACATCTGGCTGGGCACACATGGTTGCCCAGGGAAGCAGTGGCTGCCCAGCCCTGGCACTATTCAAAGCCAGGTTGGATGAAGCCTTGAGCAACACGGTCTGCAGGGAAGTGTCCCTGCACAGGGCAGGGGGCTGGGACTGGATGATATCTATGTCCCATTCCAACCCCTAAAACTCTATGATTCTATGATCTACTGTTGCACTAAGTTCCTAAATCACTTACAGTGCTCTGCAAATGCACCTGACTGTCTGGCAATGTCACACAGGGAAGTGACAGAAATGGTGAGTGAAGGACCCTGATGTGGGAAAATGGGTGAGTACATTTCCTGCTGTTCCTATACAGGAAAACACAGGAATGTAACACTTCATTGCAGGATCTGAATGTAGAAACATGTTTTCTGCCTTCGAGACAATATTAGGAGTGAAATAAATCAAAGAATCGATCAGTTTGGAAAAGACCTCTGAGAGCATCGAGTCCAACCCATGACCTAACACCACCGTGTCAAACAGACCGTGGCACTGAGTGCCTTAAACACCTCCCGGGACGGTGACTCGACCACCGCCTTGGTGCAGGGTGAGCACGGAGGACGTCGGGCAGGGCACCCCCAACCCCCGAGCGCTGCCCTTTCCCTCCGCGC